GTCAACATAACTAGTCTAGTCCTGCAGGAGATCAATCGCCAGCCTGAATAGCTCAATGGTAACGTCTCTGACAGCAGGCGGCACTGGGTGACGCGGGTTCGAATCTCAGAAGGGACATGAGTTCCTTCAAGGTGATTGCAGATACGCCTGCCTTGCTGACTGACTGATGAGTGCCAACTAGGACGAAACCTAGGTCCTGACAAGGCTTCCTGTGGCCGATTGCCTCCAACTATCTAATATAATATAATATAATCAATAAAATAATCAACGGGTTAACTTCATAACAAGAACGTCTTCAATGTTATCCCTGATAGTGTCATGATTGAATACTGCTGACAAGTTTCACACCAAAGTGTAACAAGTATCAAGGGATCAATAGTTTCCAGTAGTTCTCTAACTAATGACAACTGGTGATCTAATTCAAAAATATCCCTCAAGTGTAGTAGTTTCTTAGTCTGTGTGTGTGTGTGTTTTGGTAATTCAGAAATTTCTCTAAAGTCAATTTGTATGACAATAATTTCATTAGTGAATATACCTTTTAAACACTGTATATAATTTACTGACTGTCATCAAGTTGCTCTCCAGTTTAATCAACTTTCTTGTTGTTTTTGTTTCCTTTTTACACATTTCAGTGTGCGTCATTCTACAGTTCAACAATGTTTAAATTTATAAATAAAATTGTGGCCAATATTGAACCGAAAACTTTTTGTCAAGTAGGTTATAATTTTATTTATTTATTTATTTTGGATGTTTTATATAATATTATTTTATTATTATTTATTATTGTTCCCTTGGGTTCCTAGTGGAACATAGGGCTTCAACTGCACGTCTCCACTTGCTTCTGTCTTCTGCTGTACTTTTCACCTGCATCCATGTTAGTCCACACTGTTTCAACTCTTCTTCACACGATCTCCTCCATGTCACCCTAGGACGTCCCACTCGCCGATTCCCTTTCGGGCCTGACGCGCGATGTTACCCAGCGGCCTCCTCAGCGAGTGTTCAATCCATCTCCACTTTCTACTGCATATTTGTTGGGCGATTGGTTCTTGTTTTGTTTGTTCCCATAGTTTCTTGTTGGTGATTCTTTCCGGCCATCTGATCTTCAGCAGTATAGAACGAAGACAGCTGTTGATAAAGGTCTGCAACAGGCTGTTGGAAATATTCTTTGTGACCCGCCAAGTTTCTGATCCGCACGTATAGAAGAACTGACTGACTTGACGTTTGTATTGAAAATCCGAATTTTGTTGTTGATGCTGAGTGAAGTGACGAAGATTTCCAGATTGGTTTCAGGTTGATGAATGTGTTTCTCGCCTTCCCGATTCTCAATTTGACATCCTCGTCCGTTCCACCTGCCTGTAGTTGAGACAATGCTCCCTAGATAAGTGAATGAAGTAACCTCTTTCAAATCCCTCCCGTTGATGGTGATTGGTGGTGGATGTTTCTGCTGCTGTTGTTGTTGTTGGTTGGTTGGTTATTTTCATAACCTCCGTCTTGTCTATGTTCACCTGCAGTCCTGTCTTCTCCAGCTGCTTCTTCGACCAGTTTGTCGGTTTTCGCTTGTAAGTCTTCGATTTTGTGTGACATCAAACATAAATCATCCACGCGCGAAATCCAGGTCTTCTAGGTTCTTCACGTCGGTCAGGACAGGATATCCCTGTCTTCTCGTTTCTCACTGTCTGACGCATAATCCAGTCCACCACAATTATCATTGGTAATATCATTGGTGATAATAAGCACCCTTGTCTGACTCCTGTGTTTACTCCAAACGCCTCGCTGAGTTTTCCGTTGTGGATCACTTGACATGTGCCATTGTCGTACAGCTGTTGGATAAGGTTGATGAATATTTGGGGTACACCGTAGTACTCGAGTAGTTTCCAAATTACTTCGCGGTCAACGCTGTTGAAGTTTTTGTAGCAATTTGGTTAAGTTTTCTGGGTGGAGTTGCTAGCACCACGCCCCAACCCTCCCTCTTTATCCGGGCTTGGGACCGCCTAGAAAACTAGTGACCTAGTAATCTAGGCGAGGATGTTTTATATAATAACAAGATTTTCTAGAAAGTTTGGGCATAAACCTATACACTACTAATTGATTGCAATGACAGTTGCAGAGAAGAAAATTTTCTTTTCGACGAAGTCACTGTCAACTAGATAGCTGTACATTCGTGTAATTATAATAAATGGGTGGGAAAGTTCCAGAATAATTTCCAGTCAAGGGTCAAATTGGGAATTAAAATGCCATAATAAACAGGGGGACGGGGATGGATAAAACTCAAACAAAGTAGCGTCGACATCCATCTGGCAAGAAACCCTGACAACTCTCTGGAAAGTTCCATATACAAGAAGCCTACATGGAATGGACAATTCATCAACTATCAAAGCTTCGTGCCCCTATGTAGAAAGGAACCTAATATACGCTCTCTCTTATCGAGGATTCGGAAGATTTGCAGCGAGGAAGTGATTGATGGAGAACTGCGTAATCTCCGAGGAACCCTGATGGAAAACGGTTTTCCGTCCAGGTTCATAGACAAGAATCTCAAATCAAAGAAGACTTCCGAACAAGTCCAATCCGTCCCGAAGAAGATACTTCTGCTTAATCTAGAATTCAAAGGTGACATTGAAGCAGAAATCCTTCGTAAACGCCTCTCCAAATCTCTGAGGAAAACATACTTCGCCGCGAGCCTACGACTGACGTTTTCCTGCAAGAAACTGTCCAGCCAGAACGCGAAATACAAGCTGTCGCATTGGGCCACCTCACCGAGCATATACCAGTTTACTTGCTCGTGTGGAGCTGAGTACATCGGCCGTACCATGCGCCAACTTGAAAAATGTGCTCGTCAACACTCTCCAGCCTGGCTAGTAAAAGGAGACCGAAAACGTGTATATAGTTCAGTGACAGAACATCTGGTCAATTCAGGACATTCAGTGCCTTTCGAAAAATCCTTCAAAGTAATATACAAGATTCGATCAAACCTATGAAAGGGAGTAAAATTAAGACATCTGGGCATAGCCAAGGCACTATCCATCCAAAAGCTCAAACCCACACTATGTATCTAACAGAAATACATCCAACCGTTGTCCCTGTCATGGCTATCATAAATAGGTAATACTTTTAATAGTGACTATCCCATTGCCTTTCTAATCCACGTTTCCTGTTTATTCATGTTATTTTTAAGTTTTTCTTAATCCCTATTTACACTACCACATCTTTATATCCGAATTTCCTGTCTATTTTGTCATTTTATTATTTCTACATATTTAATCCGTGATTGCATAAACAATTATTTTTATCCAAACATCCTGTCTATTTATTTTGTTATTTCTACATTTCTAACCCCTAATTGCACAATATGTCAATCCTCCCAGTAATTATAATGCTACTTTGTTTGAGTTTTATCCGTCCCCCTCCCCCTGTTTATTATGGCATACTAATTCCTAATTGTAATTTTTATTAATTTGACCCTTGACTAGAAATTATTCTGGAACTTTTCCACCTATTTATCATAAATACACGAATGTACAGCTATCTAGTTGATAGTGACTTCGTCCGAAAGCAAAATTGTCTTCGCTGCAACTGTATTTTTATTATTCCCTACGATCAAATGTGTATATTCCGTGATTGAAATGTGTAGATGCATATCACTCGCATTATTCGTGAGTGTTTTCTGGCCAGATTGAAGCGTTACAAACACCGACCATCTGAGATGAGTCGAACCAGTTCCAACCAACCGATTTCTGGCTACCTACTTAACCAAACTGATGTTAGCAAATATCAAATTCACAATTTGCAATTTTTTTCAGAAAAATGTCAGTTTAAATTTAGGCTGGTGTTGAGTTAGAGAAAGATTAGGGCTGTGGTTTAGGTTACTAACCTAGATTTATATTTTTAGTGCAATAGCTGATTTCAAAATCATTGGTTGGTTTGCACCTATTGAGTGTCTATTCCTAATGCTTACCCTGTTTAGTTCCGTCAAATATTGCTTCAGTAGTTTGCTTGAGAACTTTATTATTATTATTATTCCCTTGTGTTCCGACTGGAACACTGGGCTTCACTAAAGCATCTCCACTTTCTTCTTAGTCCTGCTGTCCTCTTCAGCTGGGTACAGGATTGACCCTAATCCTCTTTCCTTCTCTTTCCCAGAACATGATTCCCTTCATGTCACCCTCGAAGCGATGACCCACTACTCGTCGCTTTCCATCCGAATCGAGTAACGGACTGCTTTGACCGATATTTCATTCACCGGTCTCCTCAGTGACGTATGCCCGATCCATCACCATTTTCTCTTACATATTTGTTGAGCGATCGGCTCTCGCCTGTTAGTTTGTTGCCAGACACAGTTTCTTCTTATTGATTCTTTCTCGTCTGCCAGCTGGCCATTCGATCTTTGGTATGCAGCCAGCCAGCGAAGTGGGCAGCTGTTGATGAAAGTCTGCAGTGACCTGTTGGATATCCTTTTCGTGGCTCACGCGTAGCTCAAGTTTCTGACC